ATTTAACACTCTGGGGTCTCCACCGTCAGCAGGATTGAAAGTTTTGCTGTTGCCTGGAAAGAGAGAGTAAAAAAAAAAAAGCCTTTAATGAGGATTCAGAGCCTGGCACAGCTTCCTCAGAGAGGGGAAAAGACAGGGGCCAGCTGATGCTTTCCAAGCACTCAGGGAGATATATCAAAAAGCAGATCTGTGTCTTCAAACCAGCTGTTGGGTATGGCAACGGAGTTACAGCACACACAAGGGCTTGTATTGGAACCAGCACTTCCCTTGGTCTCATTTGTAGCTGCAGACGCACGGACACACGTCTGCTGGGATTGTAGACATCACATTGCTTTGCTTGCCTTAGAAGATCTTGTTTGGGAGGGGAAAACCCTTCATCACCATGGAGCGAAAGAGAGAGAAGGTGGCAGAGCCCGAGGGACTGACTGCCTGCCCTGAGAGAGACATCCCTGGTAAAGCATTTTTCCAGGAGCACAGTCCTGTTTCCACAAGCGAGACTCACCCTTTCAACCAACCCTCCTGGCATGGCAGTGAGGTGTGGTCTGTGCTCCCTGCTCCGGTGGAGCTCCTGCCTGGTGCCCCCCAGGGCTGCCATCCACATACTCACTCCTTGAGAAGATGCTATCAAGCTCTTGCCTCCGCCTGGTTCCTATTCCTCCTTTCTCATGCCCACATGAGCTCCCCACGTCCATGGGGTTATCTCAGCCCCATGCAGAGGCATTTGCTGTTCCCCCTGCCATCCTCATCTCCCTTGCAGCCAGGCTCTATGTGATCTCTCAAAGCCAGAACCACTTGGTTTTGGTTCAATATTATTCCTTTTGGCTTTGGATGCTCTGAAATCTGGTGGAAACAGCCATCTGAGTGATGTTTTGCTTGCAAAAACATACTGTACCTCCAGAGCACACTGCTTGGAGAAGGTTTCCTACTGCTTATCTTCTCACCTCCTTTGCTTGAAGATCACAAGATGCGAATTTGGCGATTTCGGTCCTCACTGACTTCATTCCCCGGTTGACCTTGAACTCCTTTAACCTCAGCAAAACCCTCAGCAAGGGCTGGACCTCACCATCCTTTCCTAGGCTTACACTGGAAACCCTGGCCCCGGCAGGAAAAATAAACCACAACTAATAAATAAATGTGGCTGAGATAACAGCCAAGGGCAGAGCGAGGGAGGAAGCAAAGCTGGCCAAAGCTCGGCCTGAAGGCAACAAGTGGGTGGTGGGCTACAGGTCGGGCAGGAGGAGACCAAGCCCTGCTCTTCCCACTGCCACCGGCCCCCCCAGTATCCCCAGCAGCTGCCTGCCAGTACAATGGGATTTGAGCTGAAACACGTTGATACAAGAGGGAATTTCCGCTTGAGTTTTGGCCCTGAGACCTTGCAGTAAACATGGCAAAGTGTCCCTGCTGGGAGGCGGAGGGGGACTGAAGGTCGTTGTTCGGGACTGCTCTGTCCGCCACTCGCCTGGGAGTGCCACCACTTTCTAGGCTGGCACAGGCAGTGAATCAGTTGGGCAGGCTGATTTCACTCCCAAGAGGAAATTTGTGGTTTGATTTTCTTTTTTTTTTTTTTTTTCTGGAAAAAAAAGCTTCTTGCAGTAAGGATGCAAGGAGCTGGAGGTCTTAACAAAGGACAGCCCTGCTCCCAAAACCAGAGGAAGGAGATGAGGGCGGTCAGCAGCGGAGCTGGTGTGCATCTGGCTGCGGATGAGGAGTTTGGACACATGGAGAACATAGCACACCTTTATGGTTGCTAGTAAAGATTATTCACTGTTTATTGCAGAGATTTGTCTCCTGTGAGGCAGATGAAGTGTTCAGCGAGTGTAAAGCTCCTGAGTCAGAGTGAAGTACCAACGCACCGTCCTGGGGCAGCTCCGCCCTGTGGGTGCCGGTGGTGGTGGTCCGAGGCTGATGGTGGGGCTGGCAGGGAGCATCCTCCCCCTGCCCCATCTGCTCATGCAGAGGGACATCATTTATGTGCCAGGGTTCACCTTTCCATCAGCAGAAAGAGAATTTATTCACCTGAACAAATCATAATTAAATCCCAAAGGGATGTGTCTGCCTTGACAAGGTCTCCTCTCGGTGCTGATGCGACACCACCTACGGACGGATTTGACTACTTTTGAGTGCTCCGTCACCCAAAAGCTGGTGGGAGGTGAGGAGCGGCTGTCCCAGCAAGGACTGGAAAAAAGTTTTCTCTTCTCCCTGCCCTGCCCTTGAGTTCTTCCCATGTCCAGGAATACATCTCACAGCCTTTCCACCCGTGGCCTCATCGCTGCTCAGGTCTGACTAGAGAAAAATGAAACATCGAGGCTGTCCCACCCTGGGGGGGGTCTGGGGGTGCTGTGGCTGGCTCCTGGGCCCCCCCCCC